AGATGATTTTGTTCCTATCACAGCTATGTTACCAACAATTCTAATTTGCTATTGTTTCTGTTTTCTTCCAAGTCGTCTTCAACTACGCCTTGGCGACCATTAAGGCACCATGAAAAATAACTAGATGACCTGTCATTTAAAATATTATTTATGTTTTTCATTCTCTTTAACTTGTTATTCTTTACTTATGTGAATCGTTAAATTTTTTTTTTTCCCAACTTGTATAAACATAATAAAATGCACAAATGGTCACTTCCCAATTCTTCCTCTCGAAGTACTCCTTCACTTGTATTTATTTTTTGATTACTACTTACTTTTTGTAGATCAACAAGTGATTCAAATATATAAGTAATCTTTTCTGTTAATAGTAATTATCCTCGACGGGTCACATCTCATTCCATGTGATATTCATGCAGTTTGCAGTATGGACATTACATATTCAAACCCATAAATCTTCTTGCATGCACTTACTAAGGAAGTTTCTTTATTTCATTTTGTGCCAAATTCAACTTGCTCAATGGTAATCATCATTAGGACCCAAGATTCCAAAAAAAGAAGCTCCACTGATGAAGTCTAAACTTTGAGCTCTATGCTGAGCTATAAAGTAGAAAGAAATGAAAAGTCACATTTACCAGTAAAGTTTGATTAAGCAATCAATGATTTATATGGTATGTGTATGTGTGTATCTTTATAAATACAAATGGCAAAATAGGATAGGCTCTTAATTTCAACTAAAACATACAACTCAAGTGAAACTTTGATAATGAAAGATGTAGGTAATCAATAATTGGCCACCATCAACTAATAATTTTAATTCACGAAAATTTAGCATACATGTGGTATACAATATAAATTGAACTAAACAAAATTTTAAGGACATGTTCGACAATGATTATGAGAATTGATTTTTTGATCGTTAGAAAGAAAAGTGAATCTCACCTGTGAGTAAAGAAGTCAAAAATGGCGGCTAAATAGTGAAATAACAATACAAAAATTGATTTATTTTTTTGTTAAAAATTGCTACCAAATGGGGGCTAAATTTCATATGTATAGTAAATATTGCCCAACATGTCAATCCTAGTGCGAGTTCACTCAACAATTTAAACGGACTATATCAACATCTAAGTCTTTTAATATAATTCTAGCCAAAGTTATCGTCTTCAAGCTTGGAAGTGACAACCATTATATCACTTTCCATCTTAAAAATTAAGTGCCCCTTAAAAAACCAAATTCAATTAAGCATGCATTCTTAAAAGATAAAACATCATAACTTAGGTCTTAAACAAAGAAGAATTTTTATATTAATATTATAATATTATAAAACCTTGATTAATTAAAGAAAGTTAATTAGATTTTCCTGAAAGATTGTTAATCTCTTATTTTTCTTGGCTCCATTTCCCAAAAAAAAAAAAAAAAAAAAAAAAAAACCCCCCAAACCTTTTAAA